TTGGACTTCAGTACCGATCAACGGAATGTAGTCCGCAATGGACGTGGCCGTCCTTCCGCCTACGCCGTCGCCACGGTCACGATGCTTAAGCGTCTCGCCATGGTGCGGGCTGCGAACTGGACGGCACGCCGGGCAATTGCGGCGATGCTGACTGCGAGCAGGGCATGGACGCATGCGGCAGCCCCTGCGAGCTTGGACGATGTCTCGCTTGCACGCCCGCACCCCATCACTTTCTTCACCGCGACGATCGGATGTTTTGGCGACGCGACCCCTGTCATCACGAGAAACATGCTTAAGAGGCCACCCTCCACCTCCTCCTCCTCATCATCATCCTCCTTCTCCCAACCAGGGTCAACCCGAAGCTGGGTGAGAACGCGCGCAATCAAGCTCATCATCCTTCTGCTCGCCCTTCTCCTCCTGCTCCCCTCACTTCTCCTCTGTCCTGATCCCTCCTCGTCCCCCTCGTGTTCCTCCCCTTCCTCCTCCTCCCCCTGCCTCCTCATCAGTCTCCTTCGCCCTCCCTCATTCGGCAGGGCCGCCGAATGTCCATGTGTGTTACTCCTGGGCGTGCTCAGGCTGATCGAAAAATTCGGTTCGACAACTTCCCCACCTCTTTGTCCACTGAGTGAACCCGCGCTGCCATGATCAAGACACTTCGCCTGGACATGCAAATGGGCTGTCCGTCAAAACCAGACACCAACAAGCCACGCAACCAACCGCGAATGAAACGATTCCCGCCACTCTCCACAGAGCACGCTTCGCTCCCCAACGTGCCGTTCAACGCTCTTAACATCGGCCCCCAAACGACAAGCGCTGCGTAGCCTTCCCCAAACCACCGACGGCTCGATAGCCTGGCCGCGCTGGCGGCGGCAGCGCCGACGCCCTGCTCCGCAGCGCCCCCTGCGCCCGCGGCGCCCTCGGTGCAACCGCCCGTGGCGACACCGGCCTTTCTCTCCTCCGCGAGCGCCAACCCTTCCGGCACATCTTGCCTGCACGCAGGGCAAATCAGGCCGAGCGCGTCCACCTTGGACCAACTTGAAACGAGGCAGTCGGAGCAGAACGAATGCCTGCAAGGTAGGTGGCGGCACGGGACATCCTCCATGCAAATCATACAATTCGCGGGCGCCGGATCGCCGGGGTGTCCGCCCTTGCACCGCTCGAGCACGCTGTTGATGTAGTCCATATCCCGGGCGCTGCGGGACACGCTCGCGTCCAGTCCGGACAGCAATTCGTAATCCTCAGGGACGATACGCCGATACTGCAGATCCTCGACGGCCTTCTTGTCATGATCTGAGAGCACCTCCATTAGCAGCTCGTAGTGGGCTGGGTAGCGTTGTCGAGTGCGGCGCGCGCTTGCTAGGGCGCCCTGCGCTGCCCTTCGAGACATGACGACTGCGGACATGACGACAGCGGAGCTGGAAGCGGAACAAAAGCAAGAGGAGGAGCAGGAATAGGAATAGGAGTCAACCAAGACGACTCGATCGTGCCACCAGGCTGGCCCCCCCAAGGCCCCGGGCCCTCGGGGGTGCACATGGCGCGCACCTGAAAGCGGCTACCCCCCTCACCCCGGACCCTCCGCCGCAACATCGAGGGGCCGCCCCCCTCTACCCCGAGCCCCCCGCCGACGCGTTGGATGGCGACGGCGGAGATCATGCGCCGACGACGGGGCGGCGACGATGATGGTGACATTGATAGCCGACGGCGCTGGCGACGGAAAAACACGGCTCTCCCACATGTCCGCGAGGGCCCGTGATCTCCAGGACCCCCCGGGCCCGCAATTTCGACAGACCACCCCTCTCTACACCGAGCCCCCCGCCGACGCGTTGGATGGCGACGGCGGAGATCCTGCGCCCGCGACGATGGCGCAACTTGAAGGGGCCACCCGTCTCTACCCCGAGCCCCCCCTCCACGGCAGAGAAGCTCTGGTGCGGAATAAATGAAGACGATGAAGACGACGCGGCGGCGACGGTCTCTCGACTGCGGCCCCGCTGACCACGATGGCGGCGGCGGCGGCGACGACGATGACGGCAATGATGACGGCGACAGCAATCGCGACATAACGACGACGGCGTCAGCGGCGGCGAGAGCGCGCAGTCACTGCGCGGCGGAGAATGAATCTTCCGCACATGGGGCGCGCCTGAAAGCGGCTCCCCCCCTCACCCCGGACCCTCCGCCGCAATTTCGAGGGGCCGCCCCTCTCTTCCCCGAACCCCCCGCCGACGCGCTGGATGGCGACGGCGGAGATCCTGCGCCCGCGACGTAGCATACCCCGAGCCCCCCTCTGCGACAGAGAAGCTCTGATGGGGAATAAATGAAGACGATGAAGACGACGCGGCGGCGACGATCCCTCCGCCGCAATTTCGAGGAGCCGCCCCTCTCTACCCCGAGCCCCCCGCCGACGCGTTAGATGGCGACGATGAAGATCCTGCGCCCGCGACGATGGCGCAGCTTGAAGGGGCCGCCCGTCTCGACCCGAGCCCCCCCTCCACGGCGGAGAACCTCTGGCGCGGAGACGGAAGGAAGAGGAGGAGGGCGAAACTGCGCGGGGACAACGCCCGCAGCATCTCTCAGACTGCCCCACGGGGCTGGTGGGTGTGAGATAGTTCCTCCCCGTGGGTCTCCAGGCGTGTGAAATAATTCACCCCCCCCCTATAGTCCCCGCCCAGGGACCCCAAACCAGCGATTCGACCCCCCCCCCGCTCCCCCGGGCCCCCCCCCACCCGGGCCCCCTACAAGCGCGTCGCGGCCTCTTTGCGCCCAAAAGAAGCTCACGACAAGCCAAGAAAGTCCCAAGAGACCTCCAAGACGACCCACGAGGGTTCCAAGACACCAAGCGAGCGTTCCAACCCGTCCAAGATCGGCCGAAAACAAACCAAGGAATCTCCAAGACACCCCAAAAACCTCCAAAAAGACTCATCGGAAAACGTTCATTTTCAAGACGGCCCAAGAGGCCCCAATGACGGCCCAAGAGGTTCCCAAGACATCCCCAAGAGAGGCCCGAGAGGGGGAACTTCAACCGACAATCCGAGCCTTCCGCCCCTTCACGGCCACAGCAAACTCCATGAGGCCCCAAGAAACCCCAAAAAGCGTCCAAAAAGGCCCCAAATGGCCCCAAAACGGCTCCCAAGACGCTGCGTAACTGCCCCCAAAATTCCCGCGAGAAGCCCCGCAAAAAATCACCACCACGAAACTTCGTGAACGCCTCTACCACTAACAGCGCTCGCTAAAAACGCCTCTACCACGAACTTCGTGATCACCACCACAAAACTTCGTGAACGCCTCTACCACCAACCTCCGCCGGCAGCGCTCGCACTGCTCTCGTAACATTAATTCCGCCTCCCACTCATCCCACATCACGCTCTCCCCTCGCAGCACTTGCAACAGATTTGTCGTGCCTGAACGCTTCTCCGCACGCCGCGCACGTCAGCGGCTTCGCGTCCGCCTCGGCTTTCCGTTTGCGATTCGCTGCCACCGCATTGCCCCGTCGCACCCCTTTCTCTCGTTCTTCCGCGCATGTCCGACAGAATCTTTCCACCGCAGCATTGTGCCTTTTCTGAACTGAGGACATCTCCGCCTTTTCATCATACAGCGACAGGCGTTTCCCGTTCGTACATCGCACCGTGCCGACGCTTTCGTTCCACGTCGCGTTGCCTTTCCGCGAGTTCTGCTTTGCTTTGACATAGCTACACTTCGCGCAGTACATTTTCCTAATCTGTTTCATTTCCCCGTCGTCGGCAGCCGCGTCCGCGTTCCGACCACTGCCATAGGGTGCCGCGTCGTCACTCTTTGCAGAACGCTGACCTTTCCTTTCTCTGGAACTCATACTTCGTGAACGCCTCTACCACCAACCTCCGCCGGCAGCGCTCGCACTGCTCTCGTGGCATGAATTCCGCCTCCCACTCATCCCAATTCACGCTCTCCCCTCGCAGCACTTGCAACAGTTTGTTCGTGCCCGCCATCGCACCCGCGTTGTGCGGACTCGTATCAAACGGGCGGAAGATCAGCAAATTCTCCCGTCTGACCACGCGCGCGGTGGCAACGTAACTGCACATCCAACTCACGCCGCGCCCTCTTTCGAGGTCAGCTATCACTGCTGCCATGGTCCGCCCCTGGGCAACATGCGCCGTTAACACTAATCGCGGGATTATCAAAAAATTGGGAGCGCTTCAAACTCAACACAGGATGTTTCCGATACCCGTCCAAGAACCATGGCCGCCCTTTCGATGGAAAGATCGGATACAGCACCAGCTCCCACCCTGGCAGGTGCCACTCCTTCGTATGGAAAATGCAACATCACTCCCTCCTCTTCATCTCCCACGATCTCGTCCTCGTGCAACGCCCATCCATGGATCGTGGCTGTGCGCCCCCGCAGAAACTGTTTCTTGGACCGATCCGCGTGATCTCCCACAGCCACGGCCATTCCCTTGGTCAGCGCCAGCCACCCAGGCAGACTTGAGCACTCCTTCTCGTGCTACCTCAGCCAACGTATGTTATCCTCCACCGTGTACGGCCGCCTCTGTTCCCTCCCATGGCAAGGGCAATCCGCGCCACTCTTTCCCCCAGGTACAACACGGTGTCCTCGCCCCAAAAGCCGCCCCAGGAGAGCGCGATGCACGCACTTAAGCGCGGCATGCTTTAAACGCGGGTGACAGCAGAAAATGCAACTTCGCGCGCCCCGATCGCACGAAGCAGCACGGCTGATGCGTCGTTGGAGGGGAGGAAGCGAGGGAACTTCAATGAGTCGAGGAGGGGAGAAGTAGATTAGCAAGAGCCGCCGAAGCCGATTTCAGGGCAGACAAGATGATGCCCGCAGCTTAGCTGAGGTCACTGAAAGACTGGGCCGACACAGCCGATCGCGGGGCAACCCCGGCCACCGACCTATACGCTCTTTGCAAGCCGGTGTCCCCAATCACCAGCGCGACGAGAATGCAGTCTGCGCTGGGAGAGAAGCGTAGAAGTCACCTGACGACCCCTCTCGGCGCGCGAATTTGCCGCCCCCATCACTCGAATTCGCTCGTGCTCACCCGCAGGCGCTTGCGTTCCTCCGTGGCATCTGCGTCCGCAACGATCTCCTCGAGCTTGCGCTTCTTGAACATGCCCTTGCCCTTGGGGTTGCCCTTGCGCTTGCCTCGTGGGCTCGCTGAACGACCATCGAAAGCCCGGGCACTCCGGTCTGAATGAGACCTGGATTTCCCACTGCGAAACCAAAAGAATCTCGGGGGCAACGCAGGGAACTATCCACTGATTCCAGGGAAACTGCCGACGATTGATGCCTGGGCCCCACTGGCCCGGAGTGACGGGGGAGAGCGACGGGAGCCCCTGGACGCGGCAGTGCCAACTCGCTAGACCACGACGCTCCAGGCCCCATCCGCCTTGCGCCGCCTTGGCCCTCTGCGCGGAGTCCCCCGCATCGGCGGAGTCCGCGACCCTGTCCAGGAGATCAGCCGCGACCAGCGCTGTCAAGCCGTCGGAGATCTTCTTTGCCAGGTCCGTTCTGAACCACGTGTCCCTCTTATTCCTGAGCCACTGCCTCGCATCCGCCTCCGTGAAAATCTGCCCCTTGGGAGCGCGAGTGAGCAGGAACTGCCGCGTCAGCTCGGACGGCATGAGGGCCCTCATCGCTATCTCCGCGACGTCAGGAGCGGCCAGCACGGCCGCCGAAGATCCGCCTGCGCACCTGCCGTCGGCGCCGGAGCGATGGTTGCCCTCGGCAGCGTGGGCGACGTGGAAGCGGCACAGCCCGAAGTGAAGTTCAATTTGGCGGAGAACCTTGTGGAGCCCCATCGTGATTTCGTTCACACTGGGAAGACAACACCCGCAAGCAGAATCAAAAGGCGGTTGCGGCGCCAGGGCGTCGTCGCCCTGGGCAGCATGCCGGGCGATGAAATGCCTGGCGAACTGGTTCCCGCGGTGCACCCGGTGCGTTGCGCGAAGCAAGTCGCTGTGAAGGAAATTCAACTTCGTCTTGAATGCCGGCGGCATTGGCACGGTCTGACAGATATCATCAAAAGCCTGCTTCGCAGCACGGTATATGGTGTAGGCGAAGCCGTCGAGCGAGAGAACGCTGGCGACATCAGAACAATGCTCGTGCATCCACCCGTGCAGACGCTCGATGAAGGAGTCGCTCTGTTCGGAATCGACCCCGTCGTCCGCGCGCGCGTCCTGGAGGGCCCCGCAGGAGCCGCTTCACATAGGAACAACATCGATCCGAAGAGGGCTGGTCTCCCCCAAAACGCCAGGGGAGCCCTCGAGCTCCAAGCCACTCGAGAACAGCCCCGAGAATGGGACACGACCAGGACGGGACCAAAGGAAAAGATTAGGAGGGGCCAGAACCTGTGGGCTCGGGGAGCGAGGCCAAGAGACACGCGGCGGAAAATCGCAACCAAGCTCGGGATGGCGAAATACGATGGGCCCAAGGTTGACCCGCTGTCGTGGAGAACCCACACCGTCTGCATGCGCTTCTGGAACCCGTGCACTTTCGGCATGACGATAAACTCGACGACCTCTGTCTGGCCCGCGCACTTGAGCATGAAATTGTAAGTGTCCAAAGACACCTTGCCGTTGCCAGTCGCCGGTCCGTCGTGCTCGCTCTGCGTCCACGTGTTAAGCTTCGCGCAGCTGAGATAGTGCACCCCGGACTCCACGTCGCTGAAGGGCGTCTGGAACGTGTTTGCGGCCTCGTCGCTGGAGATGCCGCACCGGCCGTGTTCTTCAAGCTGCTTCCGAATGCCCTTCGTGGTGCAGTCCGTGTTCATGACCAACTTGTCTTTGAAAACAGGGGAGGCCTCCGGGACATGCGTCAACCACTTGTCCGTGCACTGCATCAAGGCCGACTTCCGCGTGGAGGACGCGCTGCCGATCAAGAGGGGCTGGCCAGGGGAAATGTAATGGCCTGACATCCGCAAGTGCGTCAGCTCTGTTCCGGGCGCCTCGATGAAACCCATGTTGCACTCCACGGCGGAGAGCAGCGCCTCCGCAGAGAGACCCCGGGCCATTGCTGCGGTGTGCACGGCGTCCGCCAACAGCTTCGGCGCAATGGTGCGCAAATCGAAATCCAGCTCGCTGGCAATCTGGCGGTGAGACCGGGTGTCCTCCCACGCCTTCATGACCCTCTGGCGCGCTGTCTCGTAGACCTCCCCCTTCGTCTTAAAACCCTCGAAGACGATGTCAGGAAACAGGGACTCTTCGATCGCGTTCGATGCCTCGTCCTCTGGGAGCCCTTCGACTTTGGCCTGCAATGCGGCGACGCTCTCGCCCGTGGGGTCCGGGACGCGAAGACCGGCACTCGCTGCAGAGGAGTCCTCAAACCGCGCACCATTCCTGAAGGAGGTGAACTGTGTGCTCGGCAGAGAGACCTGAGTCGCAGGTGACGCTTGCTCCGCGGGAATGGGCGACTCAGGCGGGGGCTGAGAGTCGGGCTCGGGGCTCTTCCGAGGCGTCGCAGGGGGGCGCAACCCCGCGAGCGGGCCGTCAGCGATCGGGACTGGACCGGCTGGTGAGCTCGGGGGAGGAGGTGGGCTCGGGGCAGCCCCGGCACCACCTCCCCCCGGGGCCGCGGACACGCCGCTCGGCGCGAGCATGAGCACGCCCCGGAAATGCAGGAGGACGAGAAGCGCGTGGAAGCAGCAGTCGCCCCCGTCACGGACGCGCGACTCCAGCGCGAGATCACCACTGCGAGCGGCGACGGCCGCCACCATGTCGGCCCATTTCGGTGACGAGCACGGGGGCAACAGGCGGTGCTCGTCGACATGGAGCAGCGGCAAGAAGTGGCACCCATCCTCCGCGGACCCGTACCCGTTGTCCAGCCCACCGTGGACAATGACAGCGTCCTCCTTGGGGTCGGGAACGATGAAATCTGCATCGCGGAAATGGGCAGCACAGACGGACATGACTTCGGATGGCAACGGCCGAGAGCCGGGGGCCAAGCGAGTCTGGAGAACAACCTTTATGTCACCCCACGCCGAGGAATCGCCCCACACGACAGCACGACGTGCCATGGCAGAAGTGATCTCGGTGAAGCGAAGTGTCTCATCGCCGCGGGCGTCGGCGAGGCACGCCCGTAGAGCGGCGATGCCCTGCTCCTGCGCCAACCCGCACAGGGCGACCTCACGAAACATTGCGGTGGAGTCCATCTGCAACTTTCGAATCTCCTACCCGACAGGAGCCCCGGCGCGCAACTCTCGAACCCAACGCTACCGCGCAGCTGAGTTGAGGCGCGCAGCCGCCGCGCGGCACTCGAAGGGGCCACCCCTCTCTACACCAAGCCCCAACGGGCCCTGTCCGCAGCGGGGGGTGTCCCATGGAGCATCTGGCCCCGATTCCCCACGGGAGACCATCCGCCGCAGACAGAGCTCACGGGGAGCCCCCCGACGGACCCTGTCCGCGGCGGGGGGTCTCCCGTGGAGAATCTGGCCCCGATTCCCCACCAGAGACCATCCGCCGCGGACGGGGCCCGACACCATGTCAAACGGGACCTCCCGGGGCGGGTTTTCGAAGCCCCGACACCATGCCAAACGGGACCTCCCGGGACCATCACTACCCAAAACTGCAAAAAAAACACTAGAAATCATTGAAATATTGCCAAAACCAAAAAAAAAAAAAAACATGGAAAATCATTAAAATATACCCAAAATCACCCCCCGGGGGCCGTATACCGCCCAGGGGCCGTATACCGCCCGACGGACTCTGTCCGCGGCGGGGGGTCTCCCGTGGAGAATCTGGCCCCGATTCCCCACGGGAGACCATCCGCCGCGGACGGGGCCCGACACCATGCCAAACGGGACCTCCCGGGGCGGGTTTTCGAAGCCCCGACACCATGCCAAACGGGACCTCCCGGGGCGGGTTTTCGAAGAGGCCCGACACCATGTCAAATCCAAGGCCCGACACCATGCCAAACGGGACCTCCCGGGACCATTACTACCCAAAACTGCAAAAAAAAACACTAGAAATCATTAAAATATAGCCAAAATCTAAAAAAAAAAAAAAAAAAAAAAAAAAAAAAAAAAAAAAAAAAAAACACTGAAAATCACCAAAATATACCCAAAACTGCAAAAAAACACTAGCCCTGTCCGCGGCGGGGGGTCTCCCGTGGAGAATCTGGCCCCGATTCCCCACCAGAGACCATCCGCCGCGGACGGGGCCCGACACCATGCCAAACGGGACCTCCCGGGGCGGGTTTTCGAAGGGGCCCGACACCATGTCAAATCCAAGGCCCGACACCATGCCAAACGGGACCTCCCGGGACCATTACTACCCAAAACTGCAAAAAACACTAACCCTGTCCGCGACGGGGGGTCTCCCGTCGAGAATCTGGTCCCGATTCCCCACCAGAGACCATCCGCCGCGGACGGGGCCCGACACCATGCCAAACGGGACCTCCCGGGGCGGGTTTTCGAAGAGGCCCGACACCATGTCAAATCCAAGGCCCGACACCATGCCAAACGGGACCTCCCGGGACCATTACTACCCAAAACTGCAAAAAAAAAAACACTAGAAATCATTAAAATATAGCCAAAACCACAAAAAAAAACACGGAAAATAACTAAAATATGCCCAAAATCACCCCCCGGGGGCCGTATACCGCCCGGGGGCCGTCCGCCCGACGGACCCTGTCCGCGGCGGGGGGTCTCCCGTGGAGAATCTGGCCCCGATTCCCCACGGGAGACCATCCGCCGCGGACGGGGCCCGACACCATGCCAAACGGGACCTCCCGGGGCGGGTTTTCGAAGCCCCGACACCATGCCAAACGGGACCTCCCGGGACCATCATTACCCAACACTGCAAAAAAACACAAGAAATCATTGAAATATTGCCAAAATCAAAAAAAAAAAATCACTAAAATATGCCCAAAATCACCCCCTGGTGGCCGTATACCGCCCGGGGGCCGTATACCGCCCGACGGACCCTGTCCGCGGCGGGGGGTCTCCCGTGGAGCATCTGTCCCCGATTCCCCACCAGAGACCATCCGCCGCGGACGGGGACCGACACCATGTCAAACGGGACCTCCCGGGGCGGGTTTTCGAAGCCCCGACACCATGCCAAACGGGACCTCCCGGGACCATTACTGCCCAAAACTGCAAAAAAAAAATAGAAATCATTAAAATATGGCCAAAATCACAAAAAAAAAAAAAAAAAAAAAAAAAAAACACTGAAAATCACTAAAACTAGACCGGGGGAAGCGCCCGCAATCGGGCGACACATTTCACGCCGCCCGCGGAATCGGCGCAAACCGCAAACCGCAACCGGCACCGCAACCGCAAGCGCAAATCAGTAAATATCCCCAATCCTAAACCTAAACCTAAACCTAAACCTAACCTAAACCTGAACCTGAACCTGAACCTGAACCTGAACCTGAACCTAACCTGAACCTAACCTAAACCTAAACCTAAACCTAAACCTAAACCTGAACCTGAACCTGAACCTGAACCTGAACCTGAACCTGAACCTGAACCTGAACCTGAACCTGAACCTGAACCTGAACCTGAACCTGAACCTGAACCTGAACCTGAACCTAAACCTAAACCTAAACCTAAACCTAAACCTAAACCTAAACCTGAACGTGAACGTGAACCTAAACCTAAACCTAAACCTAAACCTAAACCTAAATCTAAACCTAAAAAAAAACACTGAAAATCACTTAAATATGCCCAAAATCACCGCCCGGGGGCCGTTTTCGAAGGGGCCCGACACCATGCCAAACGGGACCTCCCGGGGCGGGTTTTCGAAGGGGCCCGACACCATGTCAAATCCAAGGCCCGACACCATGCCAAACGGGACCTCCCGGGACCATTACTACCCAAAACTGCAAAAAAAAACACTAGAAATCATTAACATATGGCCAAAATCACAAAAAAAAAAAAACACTGAAAATCACCAAAATATACCCAAAACTGCAAAAAAAACACTAGCCCTGTCCGCGGCGGGGGGTCTCCCGTGGAGAATCTGGCTCCGATTCCCCACCAGAGACCATCCGCCGCGGACAGGGCCCGACACCATGCCAAACGGGACCTCCCGGGGCGGGTTTTCGAAGAGGCCCGACACCATGTCAAATCCAAGGCCCGACACCATGCCAACCGGGACCTCCCGGGACCACTACTACCCAAAACTGCAAAAAAACACACTAGAAATCATTAAAATATAGCCAAAATCACAAACAAAAAACATTGAAAATCACTAAAATATGCCCAGAACTGCAAAAAAACACTAGCCCTGTCCGCGGCGGGGGGTCTCCCGTGGAGAATCTGGCCCCGATTCCCCACCAGAGACCATCCGCCGCGGACGGGACCCGACACCATGCCAAACGGGACCTCCCGGGGCGGGTTTTCGAAGGGGCCCGACACCATGTCAAATCCAAGGCCCGACACCATGCCAAACGGGACCTCCCGGGACCATTACTACCCAAAACTGCAAAAAAACACTAGAAATCATTAAAATATGCCAAAATCACAAAAAAAACACTGAAAATCACTAAAATATACCCAAAACTGCAAAAAAACACTAGCCCTGTCCGCGGCGGGGGGTCTCCCGTGGAGAATCTGGCCCCGATTCCCCACCAGAGACCATCCGCCGCGGACGGGGCCCGACACCATGCCAAACGGGACCTCCCGGGGCGGGTTTTCGAAGGGGCCCGACACCATGTCAAATCCAAGGCCCGACACCATGCCAAACGGGACCTCCCGGGACCATTACTACCCAAAACTGCAAAAAAAACACTAGCCCTGTCCGCGGCGGGGGGTCTCCCGTGGAGAATCTGGCCCCGATTCCCCACCAGAGACCATCCGCCGCGGACGGGGCCCGACACCATGCCAAACGGGACCTCCCGGGGCGGGTTTTCGAAGGGGCCCGACACCATGTCAAATCCAAGGCCCGACACCATGCCAAACGGGACCACGGGCCAGAAGCGCCCCTGGGCCCGACACCATCCCAAACGGGACCTCCCGAAAACAGGTTTTCGGTGCGTGACACCATGCCAAACGGGACCTCCGGGGAAGGCGCTCGTGGGCACGACACCATGCCAAACGACCCCCCCGCCGCAGACGGAGCCTTCGGGGCCTTCGGGGAGCCCCCAATGGGCCTGTCCGCGGCAGAAATAGCGTCTGCGCCCGGAATAGCGTCTGCGCCGGGAATCGCCGCCGGGAATAGCGTCTTCGCGCCGCCGGGAATAGCGTCTTCGCCGGGAATAGCGTCTTCGCCGGGAATAGCGTCTTCGCCGGGAATAGCGTCTGCGCCGGGAATAGCGTCTTCGCCGGGAATAGCGTCTTCGCCGGGAATAGCGTCTTCGCCGGGAATAGCGTCTTCGCCTGGAATAGCGTCTGCGCCGGGAATAGCGTCTTCGCTGGGAATAGCGTCTTCGCCGGGAATAGCGTCTTCGCGGGAATAGCGTCTGCGTAGCGTCTGCGCCGGGAATAGCGTCTGCGCCGGGAATAGCGTCATATTCCCCGGGAATGGGGATCCCCGCCGGGAATAGCGTCTTCAGGCACATTTGCGTCTTCAAGCGGAATTGCGTCTTCAAGCGCATTTGCGTCTTCACCCTGTGGTTGCGCAATTGCGTCTTCAAAGCGATTAGCGTCTTCACCCGCTCGACCGCCCCTGGCCAATAGCGTCTTCAAATAGCGTCTTCGTCTTCAGGCCTTTTGGGGAACCCCGTGTGCCACCTCAATGTATATATATATATATATATATATATATAAGAAAGAAAGAGAAAACGAAGAAATAACAAGACAAGATGTTCAAAAATAGTCAAACATCGTCCCCCGAAGCCCAAACCGGCGAGGAATGGGCCATTGGGAGTGGACCGAGGCCGCGCTAACGGCGTGCTTGGTTGCCGCTGGAGTAGGGATCGACTGCAAGACTGGCTTTACCCCGAGATTGACCTGCCCTAGATCTAAAGAGCATCCTTCGCATTGCTCGGAGATTCAGCGGGGAAATCAATGTCGGGGTAAAGCAATTCTGTAGTCGATCCCCTATTCGGAACGGTGTGGTTGGGAATCTGGTCTTTGTGTAACGCCGGGCTCACGCAGAAAAACCTGTAGGAAATCACGCGCACCACCGTTTCCTGCAGTTCAGCGGGGAGGACGCGCACAAAACATTGGTATGCTGGGGCGACGCCGACATATCCTTAGCTCGGGCATGTCCTCCTACAGGCGGATCTTGGGCGAAACATCCAAAAATGCTCGAAACATCCTCCAACAGAATCGGAAAATTGAAGAAAAATCGTCCCCAGGCTACTTTTATTACTATCTTTGAGCATTGCCCCTGCGAAGGGACGTGCCCGACCTAAACCTGCCCACGGTCGGCCAGAACGGGGGCCTGTGGCGGCCCACCCGGGCGATCCGCGCACCCTCGGGACACCCTCGGCGAGGCGCAGCTGCTGGAGCGCATCCCGCAGCTGCTGAACCGGTCGAGCTCCGACGCAGACGCCCGAACACCTCGAGCCCCGAAAGCCGCCGCGAGCCCTCGGGCCAGGCATCGATCCCTGGAGCTCTCCTCGGGGAGCGTTCCGCCCAGGGTCTCGAGGAGGACCGAGCCGGGGCCACGAGGGCGCCCCCGGGGCGACCAAGGACGCCCAGGAAGCGAAGCTCCATTCTCGAGCCCCTGAGCCTCTCCCACCTGCCTGAGCCTCTCCCTCTCTGACGCTGCCCGCGATCGAAAAGGCCAGGCCTGCATGCCGCCAGCCTCGAATGGGGGCATCGAAGGAACCTCACGGGAGCTGCCGCGAGGCTCGCAGGAGGCCTCCAGGGGCTGCCGCGAGCCCCGAGGGGCCTCGCGGTGAGATTGTGGGACGGGCCCGAGCGGGAAGGCTGTACATCGCTGTAGTTGTGCGCGTTGATCATGCGGCAGTGATTCGGCGATGATGCGCTGTGATGCGATGCGGCATGGTGCGGCATCATGGTCTGTACTATGGTGCGCGAGTGCTGGGTCATGTTGCGCCACGCGTTGGCCATGGCATACACTGGAGGAGCGTGTGCTGATATGTAGTGGCACGAGAAGGTGACGATAAAGAGGTGTGGTGCAGCACCGATATGATACGATAGGATATGGTATGCTTATGATGCTTTATACTGTTACTGGCTACAGACTAATTGCCATGACGTGTGTGGCACCATTCTATGCTAGACTGCGCGTTCCAATGCAATGCTAAACCGTCTACGCCAGCACTTACATTGCTACGGTAAGCTATGCCATGATACACCATGATTCGCCATGCTAGAAACAGATAGTGTGCCTTGATGTGATGAACAACGCCACGTTACGCTTTGCAGAGCAATGCTATGAATTGCATTGTGTGGCACCTCATTGAACGGTGTACATCAACCCACCGAATTCCAGACTTCTGTCTGGAGCAGTGGTAGACGCCCCCCATGCCCCCACGCTCATGATAGACACACTGCCATTGGCCGAAAAGTTCAACACCCACTCACCCCCGATCAGTCTCCATACTAAGCCGACACTGGGGTCGCACCGGGCTCGTTGTGAAGGTGAAGATGCTCATAGCAATGCAGAAGCACTACACGTATCCCAGCCCAACAGAGACTGAGAGCACCATGGCAGAGTACAGGCATACAGCTGAAAACATGATCGAGAAACTTATAATGCAAGAAATCTGGGCCAACTTCACGGAGGTTTCTTGAAACAAGCATGGGCCAGCTTCAACTTTTAAAGCTGGAGGGGCGACCGCGTTCAAGTAAAACATCCAGCTTTCCGGCAACTTTGTGAAGATACACTGGCCCAGCTTTTCGACAGGAGGTTTCTTCATCAAATACTCAACCGCGTGCGCCCCCGCCAAACATGTTTCCCGTCCCATTCAATACAATCAGAAAAACTGCATGCGCATGAACGTCTGAAGCTCTGGGCGGGTTGCTCGGATGGGCGCTGAACCCCCTGGCGGCGCCTTCGGCGCCACCCCTGGCGCGCTCCGTGAGCCATGGAGGGGGACAACGCTAACCCGTGCAAAATCCGAGCGGAGCTCCACAGGTTCATCACCATGCCATTGTCTCTCTTTCGACTCACAGACGGGGGCCAGAAAAGGCCAAGCAACGTCCAGAACCCACTATCGTGACGACGACGCCTTGTTGGGCAGACAACGAGGTACAACGTACAACAGCTACTCCACGGCCCTGGTGCTCTCTCCGGGGGCTGTCGGACCAGAGCTTCGAGGCGAATCCGGCCGTCGCAACGAGAGCCCTGCAGGACGTACAGCCGTATCGGTACCTTCTCCTCCTCTGAGCAACCTCGGTCGTGACGACGACGCGCTCCCAGTCGTCCGCCGATCTGACTCGCTCCCTGCGCGGCCACACGGGTCCTGACCCCCTCCTCCGACTGGGGGTCGACTACAGAATCGATTTTCACGTCGACTCTTCAACAAAACCACGTCAACCATTCGTAGATCTGCATCAAAATCCTACGAACTGCCAGTGGAGTCGACAAGAAAGATCAGTCCTGGGGCACGTCAATTCTGTAGTCGATGCCCCGCTCGAGAGGCCCCGACCCCCTCCTTGGGGGCCAACTCCCCTCCCCCGATGCACTTTTTGGGGGGCCCTGGGGCCGGACAAGCGGGCCCCGGAGGCCGACGTCGGGGATAGAGCCCCCAGGACGAAGAATTAACAATAGCCAAAAATGGCGAATCACATACTAGCAAACATATCAAAAAATGACCAAAAAATTAGAAACAAAAAATCAAACAAATTCATACATATATATATATATATATATATAAGAACACGTATCACAAACATATCCCACAAATGTCAAAAATCCTCCAACATGGCAAAACAAAAATATCAAACAATCGTCCCCGACGCTTTGACTATTCTTGACAGGCCCAACGTACGCCTGGGACCGAAGCCGACGGACCCGGACCCGCAAGAGTGACGGCCGCGACGCCCTTCCGCGAACCGAGCACGGCCCACTCGCCAGTCGACGCGTCAGGGCAGGAGGTCTGCCAGCCTCCGGATGTTGACGACGACGCGACCTCTTTTCGGGAGCTGCCAAGAGGGGGGTGTCCAAGAGGGGGAGTGCAAATCATGACCAGCGGCATGTGCGCGGCCCAGCGGGGGGGCCAGGGACGTAATGACACAAGAAGATGCGCCATGAAATCTGGGGAAATATCACGGCCCACGCCATGATATCCACCCCCCCCTAGTCATCACCCCCCTCTTTGCCGCCCCCGATCTTTCCACGCAGATCTTGCGAGCCTCGCCGCGGTGCCGTGGCGCGGCTGGAGTCGTGGAGGAGGCGCCGCGCGCGGCGCCCTTTGGCGCGACAGCGGCGGCGCGCAGCTCTGCGGTGCGCCGCCGCGGCCCCGCGCAAGGAGGGGGGGGGCCGGCGCGGGCGGGCAGGCTCGGGCTGCTGGGACCGGGGCGCGCTCTGAACCCACCAGGATGTTGGAGGCCTGGAAATGGGCACCAACACCAAAACAGGGGGTTGCCTCCACAGGGGGAGGATGATCCTAGATTTCGGTGTTGGTGGTAATGTTTCGGTCACCTTGGAAGCCAGAATATTACCACCATCACCGAGATTGGGATCTTCTTCCCTTGGTGGAGGCATACCGCCGATCTTAGTGTTGGTGTCAACCTCTGGGCCTGCGAGGATGGGCGCGGGGGGCGCAGGGGATCGGCTACAGGCCTGACTCGCCAGAGAGATGGATGCTTCTCTCCGTCTGGCCATCGCTCGGACGTCCATTCCCTGTTTGTTTTTTGGTTTCGTGCGTGTTTGTTGTGCCGATTGATCAAGGATGCTCCTCGATGGTCCTCGCCGAAGGAAAAATGCACACGTCCGAGCGATGCCAAGCCGTCGCATCTACAGAACAGCACGCAGGGCGCTCCGCAGAACTATGAACATTCGAGGTGTGCTGTATGGCATCGACGAAGATGTCAGTTCTGGGAGTCGATGAATGCTGTAGTCGATCTCCTACTCGAAAGGGGCCCTCGTCCCCATGCCCCCTCCGCGGCCGCGCCCCGGGGCGAGGTAAGACTCGGGTTCGGGAGTCTCGGCTTGGCCTGATATGGCCATGCTGAAAATGACGAGACCCAAACTGAAAATTGACGCCAAATGCCGCTGCAAATGTCATACGGAAACTGGACCACCAAAATCCAGGACGCGCTCGTCAAAGAGCGTCCGCAAACACGAGTTCTGGCGCACTCGAGTCTTCCGTTTCCCCGACCAGCGCCTGCGGCCGCTGGCGCTCCTGGGCGGAAGGCTTGTAGAGGCCTCCTAGATGGGGTAGGAGCCGATGGGGTCGGAGGATCGCGCCACATCGCAGATGCATCGGTGATGCATCGCCGATACACTTGCGATGCATCGGTGACGTCGGCGATGCACCGGCGACGTCCGCGGGGAGAACATCGGGCTCCGCACCGAGCCGCATCGCCGAGGCATCGGCGATGCGGCGCGGTCCTCCTCCTCCTCCTCCTCCTCCTCCTCCTCCTCCTCCTCCTCCTGCTCGGCCCCCTTCCAGGAGTCCTGCAGAGTTCGGGGCTGGCGCCCGCCGAGGGCCCGGCGAGGCGCGGCGGGCGGCGACGGCGGCCGCCCGCCCCGCTTCTCCCTCCCCCCCCCCCCGGGGCGGAGGCCTCCCGAGAGGCCCCCGCCCAGAGGCACCCAAGACTCCCCCCTCGGAGCGGAGGCCTCCCGAGAGGCCCCCCACCAGAGGCACCCAAGACTCCCCCAGGAGGCCTCGGCGAGAAGGCCAGCTTTCTGGTCACACCTCTGGTCTCTAGGGGGGGGACCCCGATGCACTGCGGGCCCTCCTCGGATCGATCTCCTCCTGGGAGGCCCCCCCCCCAGAGGCACCCGAGGCTCCCCCAGGAGGCCTCGGCGAGAAGGCCAGCTTTCTGGTCACACTCTGGTCACCCTTGATGTACTACGAGCCCTGATGTACTACAGTTAAGTCGGGCCTGCCCCACTACATGAGGATTTTCGACGAAAAATGAAAGATACCCCAAAAGGAATCCAAAAATACTCCAAAAATAGCCTGGGGACTATTTTTGTGAGTATGGTTTGACCTTTTTGGGGTATGTTTGGGGTATTTGTTATGTTCCGTCGAAAATCCCCCAATAGGGGGACAGGCCCGACTTAATGCTACGGCCTGTGGGGGGGGACCCCGATGCACTGCGGGCCCTCTTTGGATCGATCGCCTCCAAATGAAAGGGGCCCCAGGACACGCAAATAAATACACACAAATAAAAGGATTTCTCAAATTTTCCTATATTTTCTCGGTTTTTGTTTTCCCCCCCACTTCCCATATTTTCCCATATTTTCTGGGGAATCGACGATTAATTGTGTCTGTGTGTTTTTTCCCCTCCCGACCAAGGTGGCCCCCGAGGTGACCCCCCCCCGATCGGAGGCCTCCCGCCGCGGCGCCGGGGGGGGCTGCAACGGATGCCCAGGTGAATCACGTCGCCGAGGACGAGGGCATCATGGTGGTCGTCGTCATCGTCGGCGTCGTCGTCGTCGTCTCCTCCTCCTCCCCTCCTCCTCCTCCTCCTCCTCCTCCTCCTCCTCCTCCTCCTCCTCCTCCTGCTCCTCCTCCTCCTCCTCCTCCTCCTCCTCCTCCTCCTGCTCCTCCTGCTACTCCTGCTCTACTGCTGCTCCTACTCCTGCTCCTCCTCCTGCTCCTCCTCCTGCTGCTCTACTCCTGTTCCTACTCCTGCTCCTACTCCTACTACTGCTGATGCTGCTCCTCCTCCTCCTGGGAAGACGTCGATCCCTACAGTCGGACCTAGGACAGAATAACCTCCTTCAGGAACATGGGACCCTCAGCTGGCCCAAACTGCAGAACATTCGAGACTTGCCCTCCCCCAGGATGCACGAGAAAATCGAACAAGTATGAAGAACCCAGGCATTAGGGTAGCTTCCCCGGGCCGACCTCGATCTTATGCCTCGATCCGACCGTATCCCAGACACTTCTGGGAGCTTTTCGGATGGGCCCAAGATTTGGGGCCCCCGTCTCGGGGACTTCAAATAGGGGAGACGGCCATCCTTGATAGGCATGCGTCTGAATAGCCCCCTGGGGGGTTATTCTCAGGCTCCCTCTTTTCCCGAGCGGCCTGAGTTTCGTGGACAAGCCGGGGGCCAGGGGCGAGCAAAACACATGCGAAGCCTCACCTAGCTCTAAATGGGTCACGGATGGCCCTGCTTAGATGGGTGTGAAGTTATAAGTAGTTATAGTATAAGTAAGTGGTTCTATTTTAGGAGAGGTTTGGATGAGTTAGGATTGGTTAGGACGTCCAATGGGTTCCATAGGAATGCCGATAGTGTAGTCCCCGATAGCCCCCCCTGTGTTTCACTATAGGATCTATAGGAGCTTACAATGTCCTATCATCAGCTGAACTTGGAATCCCTAAACGTATGTATTTTTTCACTATTTTAAACTATTTTCACTATTTTTCAATTTTTTTTTTAAAACTATTTGCACTATGTTCACTATTTACTACTATTTTCATCATTTTCACAATTGTTCACTATGTTTCACTATTCTTCCCTTGTTAATTACTTTTCAAAATTCAAACCTTGGAACAAGTCTGACCGACGCCAGAACGTTGTGCTCCAAGGGAGAAGAAGGGGAAGGAGACGGGAGGAGGAGTTGTTCACCTCCTCCTCCTCCTCCTCCTCCTCCTCCTCTTCCTCGTCCCCCTCCTCCTCCTCCTCCTCCTCCTCCTCCTCCTCCTCCTCCTCCTCCTCTGCCCCCTCCTCCCCTTCCTCCTCGGCGCCCCTCTTGGGGCCTCGGCACCCCCTTGGTGCTGGCACTCCTGGGCCTCGGCACCCCCAAATCCGAAGCTCCGAAACTCCTCCCATTCCTCTTCCTCCTCCTCCTCTTCCTCCCCCTTCTCCTCCTCCTACCCCTCCTCCTCTATCCTCTTTCCCCTCCTCCTCCCCCTCCTCCTCCTCCCCCTCCTCCTTCTCCTCCTCCTACCTCTCCTCCTCTATCATCTTTCCCCTCCTCCTCCTCCCCCTCCTCCTTCTCCCCCTCCTCCTCCCCCTCGTCCTCCCTCTCCCCCTCTTCCTCTTCCCCCCCCCCCCCCCCCCCCCTCCTCCTCCTATCCTCCTGCTCCTCCTCCCCTCCTCCTCCCTCCTCCCTCCTCCTCCCCCCCCGCCCCCCCCCCCCCCCCCCCCCCTCCTCTCCCCCCCCCCCCCCCCATTGGCAGCATGCTGGATGTTAGCTGGATGTTGTCTGGGTGTTGTTTTCATGTTGGCGTTCGTTGTTTTTTTGTTTTTATGTTGTTTTTTTTGTTTTTTTCTTGTGTTTGCTTTGTCTTGTAGGGCGGGCGCCAGACAACGCCAGACAACACAACAACAATATGAAATCAACAAAACACAACAAAAAAAACAACATTTTGTTTTTGTTGTTTCGTGTTGATTCATGTTGTTTGTTTTTGTGCTGTGTTGTTGATGTTGTTTGTGTCGTTTTTTTGTTGCCTGGTGTTGTCTTCTCTGCTTTCGTGTTTTTCTTTCTTTCTTTCCGACTACTGTCGCCCCCCCCCCCCCCCCGCCCTCCGCCACCTCCCTCATCCGTTTCCTCCTCCCTCCTCAGCGGGCCAACCGCTTTGCGTTCGCCCCCCTCCTGCCTCCCCATTCTGTTCCTCAGCGGCCCAACCGCTTTGCATGGGAGGAGGAAGCGGAGGAGGAGGAGGAGGAGGAGGAGGAGGAGGAGGAGGAGGACAGGATGACGATTTCGTCGCAGCCGTTTTTGGTTTCAAGTTTTTTTGAATTCGCCCAACCGAATTCGAGAATTCGTTAAATGGCTGCCTGGGATGCTCGCTGCGCCACGTGCGGCGCCCTCGGCCCCGCAGCCAACATGGACGTGATTAAAAACGAAAGTTCTGAAGCGGCCAAACCGCTGCACTGTACAACTTGCAATGTAAAAGCGGTCTGCCGCTGCGGAAAGTCAGGAGAGAAAGGGAGAGAAGCAAGCTGGTTTGTGATTTTTCTTAGAATTAGCTATTTTTTCAGTTTCACTATTTCTCACTAGTTTTAACTATTTTCACTATTTAACACTATTGTTTTTCGTAATTGTCACTATGTTTTGACTATTTTTCCTATTTTTAGTGCATGTTGATCGGATCCTATAGTGCACAATAACTATATATAGTGTTTTATAGAACCCGCACCCATCAAAGTGGTGGCTTGGAGGGGTTTGGTAATTCAAAGTGCGCGGACATCCGGCTGCTTCGATTCTTTCGATGCGTGGGCCCAAAAGTCTGCACCACTTCCCTAGGGCCGGATCTTCCTCCCGAGTCGGTTCTGGACGGCCCCGAGGCCCGGCGAGAGCTCCCAGAGGCCGAAAACTGTCCAACATCGCCCGCTCCGACTTTTCCGGAGCGTCGGATCTATTAACCAGCCTCGAACGTATCCCTATCCCTAAGATCAACAAGCCAAAGTACAATCTTAGGGGTGCGCCCTCAGAAACGGCGGGAATCCCAATCATAGGGATAGGGATATATTCCAGGCTGGTGCTTCGTGGGTGGGCAGGACCGACCCACTCAGCCTGTCGGGCCCTGTCCTCCGCACAGCCGGCCCCTCGCCACACACTAGGAGCTCGACCACAAGAAACCTTCCACGAGAAACCCAACCCTGAGACCCCATGACGTCCGTTGATTTTTTGTGCGGGAACGTCACGCTCTCCACGGCGAAACCGTCGAAATCCAAGAACACCAGGGCACCCTGGAGGCAAGCAGGGTGTCTCTTGGCATGGGTTTCTACTGTACTGTCGGGCCCGGTCCACCGCACAGCCGACCCTTGCCGTACTGACTACCTACCAGACCACCCCAACCCAACCGGAAGACCCCAATTTCGGGTTGGGGGGGGTACGGATTCCATATGTGTTTTTTCAGTGTTCCCCGACCCCCCCCCCAACTGGAAATGGAGGGCAAATTGAGGCCTCCGGGTTGGGTTGGGGTGGTTTGGTGGGTGGTGACGTACCCCTTGCCCAGTGCTCTGAAGTGGGATCGCCGGCCCCCCGACAAGAGCCACCTCCTGGGCAGCCGTGGCAGCGCCGGCCCCCGGGGGAGAAGGGGTCTCAGAGGGCCTCTCTGGCGGTCGGGCGGGGGCCTCGGGCTGCTGGGCCCTTCGGGGGCGGGGCACGCCGAGCACGGAGCTCCGATGCGAGCGTCTGCGAGGGGGCCCTGGGGCACACAGAGATGAATACACATACAAATAAAAAGATTCCCCATGTTTTGTCCGTGTGTGTTCGGACTTTCGTCTTCCCCCCACTTCCCATATTTTCCCGACGAGGTGTCTTT